ACGTCAACGTATCGAACATATATGACATGAAATTTGTTTGATTGCTTTATTATACAAAGCTATTGAACACACACTTGAAACAATTAACAAGCCATCAATATAGATATATCCGTACGTAATACGTGCTACCTATAATATTGGCTATTATATATACAAGGAATTTTCTACTCGGCCTAATTTCGATAAGATGAAATGAACTTCAGTCATCGTCACGAATGAAATAAACAATTATTTTCTGTTTCTGTTTCTCATGAAAATGCAAATTAAAATTTATTTAAAAAAACTATTATAATTGAAAGAAGTTCAAAGCTGTGATTAATATCAACAAGTCGACATTAAAACTGAAAAGCCAAAGTATACGTCATTATTACGCGCAATGCTGCTTGATATACCGAATTTGTTCCCAAAACCACCATTATTACATTAGAAAATTCACAAGTGATTGCGAATCAGAAACGACAAAATATTTGTTGTAAAAGATTGAAGTAAATGCGTGCGTCTCAAACTTTCCCCAACGTATTTCATGTGGAACCACACATACAACTGTATTAATAGTTTCACCTCAATCATAAATAATAGAACGTTTTTCACGAAAATCTGCTTAATGCTCATTTTAATTGTTCTTAAAAGCTTTGGCTCACATTAAAAATATGAATTTATTCATTTGAAATTTTGACAACAGAACATATTGACTACAACATAAAATTAATTTGTTTCCATCGAAAGTTATTTAATTAAATATATGAACATTTCGAATATTCATTTAATATTTTATGCGATTCGATCCGAATTCCGCGTAAATTTTCTAATATTAGTTCAATATATTGCTTTTTCCATTCATTGCTCGAAACTGATTTCAACTAATGGAGTTTTGAATTCCAATTTGCAATATGTCATTGTTTGTATATGACGGAATTGGGTCCATGTATTATTTATGCACGAAAATCACACTTACACTTTCATTGTAAATGGCTGACAACATTGTGCACCAAGATTCAAATTAAGATACCAGCCGGTTTTGTAATCACATGTCAATGGATGAACAATAGATTATGTGTATATTCGATTGGCACTTTTGAATGGCATTTCATTCAATTTCGCAATCTTAACGTGTCCGTGATCAAACAAAGTCAATTAAACATGCACGTGTTATTCCAATGTGAATTCAAATCGAATTTTTGCCCTTTGTGACGCATTCACCAATATTCTTTTCAAAGTTAAAATATATTGATCGTAAATTACGGAACATTTTCTGCATATTTGCGGCATCAAACCAATTTCGAATGAAAATTTGTACAAAAGTTACGATAAGACTGAAATTTGATTTCATTAAACGAAAAAGAATCAAACACAAAGTTTATGCTTCAAACAATTTTTTTTGAAAAAACATGATGTTATAATGAATTATAATTGCTCATATACATAACACATATGAATCGTTGCGGCGAAACAGTAGCTCTTATTTTTCTCCAAATAATACTGCAACATGAAGTTTTTTTTCACACGGTTTATTTGTTGTAATACAACAAATAAACTATTCATAAAAAAAATTATGTTGCAGTATTATTTGGAGAAAAATAAGAGCTACTCTTTCGCCGCAACGATTCATATAGTGTATTGTTTGTATCGGTGCAATCATGTCGATTCAACTCCTACTTTCATGTACACAACAATTAGATATAAATTAAAAGTTACTGATATTCCTTTTTTGATTACCGTGGTGATGGTCTTTGAGGGCTGTGTGAGTTTTAAATCGTAAATTGAGAATGAATAAATATTGTATGGTATAAACTACAACATCTCTTCCATAGAAAATGTTGACTGAATGAACCTTCAAACCTATATGTATATAGTGAAAAGTGAATTTTCCACAAGCCATGTAAAAGCTAATTGGTTCGTCTCTATGATAGAGAAAGCATGCATACAATATTGAATAGATGCAACAGTGTAAACTACTCACAGAGAAGAGAAATAGCGATATTCTCATACACAGGTTGTGAACTGTCAAAGCTATCTTCCGAGATAAAAACATTACTCAGGAATGTAAAACAATACATACAAAAATCACTATGCCGTTCATAATATTGGTGGTGATTTGACTGTTCAAAACCTCTGTATAAGAATATCGCTATTTCTCTTCTCTGTGAGTAGTATCTAACAACAAAATTTATACGCAAAAATGTCAACAATTCTAGCCAAAAATGGTATAGATGATGGTGATGGTGATGGTGGTGACATTTCAAAATTCAAAGTAGAATACAAACATCCTCGAATTGTAAGTACAATTTTGTATTATGTCAGCTAGTTATTGCTAGTGATAGAGCCATAGAGAATAATCTGCATAAGATCAATAAACATTCGGAAATCCATACTTTTTGATCAAGGTTTAGAATACCAATTTGTCACTCCCTCGGAGTTGAAACGCGCATCTCTCGATTTTCTAGGATTTTGAACGAAAATACTCAATATTGATAGGCTATATGCATAATCAACGAACTCAATCAAGTGTTCATGGTCAACGATGCCGAAATGTTAGAATCATAAACTTCTATGTCAGTTAATTAGTCTACGAATTTTCAATTCTGTTCTATAGTGGTTTAGTAGTTCAAATTGTTATCACAATATGTTTATTGAGTGCATCATTTTCACTATTGCCTATTAATTAACTATATCATATGGCATGATATTTGTTTGACACACTTGAAACAAATAACAAACCATCAATATATACCCCTACGCATAATATTGGCAAGGAAATTTCGATAAGATGAAATCAAATTACTTTTCTTTGATTGATATGCATTCCTTTTCCTATATAGAGCCTTGGTGATAATGTGATAATTTATCATTCTACTCAGTCGGACGTTTAAACAATTTCAATGTATGATTTCTTCCTCAAGCGTTCTGAATTATACTATACCTTCTTCGTATTGTTACATATGTCAGTTCTATCACAGTTCGTTGAGTCAACTATATTGAAATCTCTGGCGGAAATGAAAAAAACGAACGATAAAATTCGACGAAAGTCCTGCATCAGCAGATCATGTGCAGAATTTATGGAATTGTGCAAAAGTGTTTGCTTGATTTCATTATGAAGTCATGCATGCAATATTTAAGTGAAACGTGTGTATTCGATTCTTTTTTGCAACCAAAAGTTCACTTTAATCAAACGCAATTGCACACTCTAATTAGAATGAATGCTGTTGCAGCAACATAAGCATTGAATCGCCGTTTTTTCGTTGCATCATCGGTCGATGGATTTTTTTTTAGAAAAAGTCAACAGCACCTCAATCAATCTCGAGGGAATGAATATGTCAATGAAGGTTTAAAAAAAAAATAATCCAGAATTAGATTTTTCTCATCAAGCATTTCCCGAAATTCCTGGCGAATCTTGTTAGTTTTCCATTCGATTCGTGGTTTTTGTGGTTTATATTTTGTTGACAATTGTTTTATGTTCGATTTCATTTGGAATTGTACATAAGTAGTGTGTTTACAGCTGTCACTTACTTGTTTGCACATTCAATCTGCCAATATACTGAATAGGATATTTCAAGTGTTTTCCGCACTGTTTATTAGTTCGGTTCATGACATTGTCGACCGTCTATATTTTGAGCAGATGGTTCAAGTAATACGAGCATATATCCGCACACAGTCAGGGACTACTTTTCATGCGAATTATTATTACTTTTTTTGCTTTGTTTAACGACAAAATAAAATGTTAATTTCCATTTCGGGTTGAGAATTTACCCGGTTGAGAAGAATATGGGTTGAGAATTTACCCCTTAACAAATTTTGAAAAGTGAAGTATGGATGAAAATGGACTTTTTGAAAAAAAAATTGTACTGAAGTTTTTTGATAATCCATTTTTCGGAAGAGACCAAATTTATCCCCATATATCTTTCAAAACCACCCAACTTCAGAAGCTATGTCCATAATCTTTAAAGCAGTCTCTGTATGCGAAAAGGGGGGGAAATGAAACAAAACAGAGAAGGAGGAAGAGAACAGTCTGCATGTCGGGCTAATTGAGGCGAAATCGCGTAGTTTAAATGAAATTGTACTGTACATATGCAGACAAAACCATGAATGAGCGTAATATTCGTATTCTGCGTTTCAATGAGACACATTTTGTACAGAATGTATTACAGACACTCTGCCGAAAATGAAGAACACTAGAGAAAGTGAGATAAAATTGAGTAAAATATCGAATGCAAACAACTGGTGCAAATCAATTTCGAAAGATTTTTGCTTTGCAATCAGTAATTTGGCATTTGCAAAATTGTGTGCATAAACCAATATTGAAATTGATTTTGGTCGTGGCAATGAAGAGTGGTTTATTCATTATTTTTCTTTCTCTTCGTTAGTTTCAAATTTTCTCCCGAGAAGTATGCATATTATAAAATGAAACGTTTGAAGCGAAATCAACTGATTTTGTTGAATGAACACCGAGTGAAAATGTTATGTCGACTTAAAATATGATCATAAATGCAAAATAGTCAACGAACAGTAAGTAACGAGAATTAACAAACACATGCATAAAATATGTGTGGCCCGCATCGAAAAATACAGAGAAGCCGTTGAAATGAACGAACGAATGATCAGACGAATGCGACGGTATGAGTGTGTGTGTGTATGCATGTGTGCTGCTTCACATACAAAGTATATTTGTGAACCATATGCGCTTGAGGGACTCGCATATGGTTGGTCGGTGATATATGCACAACGACATTGGGAAACATTGCAGCCATATGTGCGATTTGTGTTGATCTAATGTCGTAAAACCAGGAGAATAAGGAACAAAACATAGTCAGAAAAGTGACAACAACAATATCATATTGTTGCGATAGAATGAGATGGTTTCAGTTTAACTGTGACATACGACCGTTCATATGATCCAAAGTGCTTGCCTAACAAAGAGTATTAACTCGCATTGGTTGTTTATGTCTTCGTATGCTTTTGTTGTTATGGGTTCCTGCACATTTTTTTATGTTTTCGTTGTCGTGCGTTGTATATATGTACATTTTCGTTTCGGTTAAATTTTTTTTCGTCCCGGCTTAAAAGAATTTATCCATTTCGCTTCAGTTTAGTCGGCGTATAGCGTACGATTCGTACAAACATTTCGAATTATTAGTGCTTGTTACTCAGTTCAAATCCTCAATTATTGTCAATTTACGCTGTTTTTTTTTGAGTGCGTTGTTGGCTGTCAGAAAGGAAAAACAACGTGTGTACATTCAAAGTCTGGTTGTCGCGAATTTGAGATAACAACTCTACCGAAACATTTCACTCATTTAAATCAAAGGTATGCCATTTGGTGTTTATATTTTGAATATTGTTTGTTTCATTTCTTCTAATATTCGATTTGATTTACCAAGATCATAGATTGTTGTTTATTGTCAGTGATTTTCATTTTAAATTTCGAATCGAATCGCGGTTCTTTCTCATTTCTATTTTGTTGAATCGGTGTGCGCGTCAATCCCTGATAGGTCTTTTTTGTTGCGATGAGTATTGAACCGTTTGAATTTCCCATGTGATTGCACAAATATAAATATTTATTCAAAAATGCGACCTTTATAACAGTAGGTGGAAAATATTACACGAGAAAATCTAACGATATCAATTATTTTTAGTTGTTCATTCAAACCGGGTCCCAAAATTCGAATGATTTTCAGTTGAATGCATTCGGTATGAGTTTTGTCGGCGAAAACAATAAAAACGGAAACAGCGCAGCGACTGCGATAATAACAAAGGCCAACTCACAAATAAACTGAAGTTCAATGGCGTTTAACTGCAATTCGGCAAAGAACGTGACCCACATAATAGCGGCCGAGCTTTATGTTTTCGAATACTTCTGTAAGATTCTTCTTACGTCGTTCAGTTCTTTATATCGTCTCGTTCATTACCACTCTATAATATTAAGATATTTTTAGCCAGCTGAATCAGCTCAGTGAGCTAACGTCAGGCAATGAAACGGAGTAAAAACAATAGAAGTAATTGTTATAGCGATTGCAGCAATATAAGTGTTTTTATAGCTATAACAATTACTTCTACTGTTTACACTCCGTTTCAGCGCCTGACGTGAGCTCCCTGAACACAATCAGCTGCCTGAAAATATCTCAATACACTGTCTGTTCAATACTCATACAAAAAACAAACATTGCGTGGGCGGACGACCGTTACAAATGGCCCCAATAAAATGTGATCACGATGTACCATTCGAAGTACGCCTTATTTTTACTAGCCGATAAAAAAGAGGTTACACATTTTTGCCATTGTTAAATTACTATGAATGTAAATTAAGTAACTCATTTTCACACAGATTGCTATGCATCTAATTGTATCACAGATCGTGATCCCTCGCCTTTCGCTCCATTCAAATGACGCACTGTGCATAAGTAGACGGCAATATTACCGAGAGTTCGGTTAATCATTTTGGATTATGTTTTGAATAAGGTCGAAATTGAATAAATCAACAACTTTGATGGAAATTGCGTCCAAAAATAAAATAACAGAAAATTATAATCTAAGGAACAGTGACAATATTTCAAACTTTCCACCAAGAAATATGGAAATTTCGATGCAAATATGATCAAAATATGTTTATTTGTGCACCGTATTTAAAAATTTATATGAAGTCTTTTTTCTTGCCAGTAGTTTAATTACATTTTCTGTCATTTATAGCAATTTGAGTGATTTTTTTTTAAAACTTCCATGCATAAATTGAAGTGACTGTTTCTGAAATGCTTCATCCATTTGAATGTAAAATTGCTACAAGCAACATGAAGAAGTCACAATATTCTTTTATTTATCTGTCTTCCAAAAATGTCAATCACAAGTACCACTGTGAACTTTGAGCTTTTAACTTCCTTGTAAAATTATCTAATCACAGCACATTTTGTGTTTTTGAAGCAATTTAAATGTGTTTATAACATTTGTCTGTTGATCAATTTGAATTAAATAATACAAACACGGTCAATTGCTGTTTTCCGTTAATTTTTCGTTGTTTTTGTTGTTTTGCTATGTCTACACAGTCATTTTGTCTGTGCGAACTGGAGAAAAAAAAATAAAATTCATAAAATTAATTAAAATGAAAACAAACTGTTTTGCAAAACTTCATCGCTTGTCTCTTAGAAATGGGGACAGAGAGTCAGAAAGAGAGAGAGATGCGAAAAATAAATCGTTGGTAATGAACAAAGAAGCACACAGGGAAAAAAGTGTAACAGCAACAAAATAATAGCAAAAATAAGTTCGATAACAACCTCGATAACTTTTATCGCTAGGCCAACAAACGATGACACTTTGTTTGAGAGCTGTACGTTATGTTTGTTCACGTTTCGTTTTCCTCTCACTCTTTGTTTTAAATAGCCATCATAATGTCTTATGATTTAGAGGGTAAAGTTTGCTACCGGAGTAAATATGAGTGGAATAAAAATGGTGACGAAATGAGCAAAGAAACAGCGGAAGAAAGAGAAATGTTATGGGGGAGAGAGAGAGAGAGAAAGATAGTAAGAAAAATAAAGAAAATAAGTGAGAAAAAAATCGAAATTGAAAAGACAAAGAGAAAGAAAAAAAAGTTTAAACATTGAAGTGGCAAAACGACTATTGCTTTAGTTTCTGGTTTGAAAATGTTTTTGAATTTACTGATAACCGTTTCTACCATGGAGTTCCTTTATAAAACATATGCTTTTGAATAAATTCAAAAGTTATTCTGCAACTGCAGTCAATAGGATTCTTGAACTTTTCGATTTTTCGCTTCACATTTATTCAAACAACAATTTTCTTCTTCTTCTTCTTCTTATTCGTTACATTCAATTTACTTTGTATTTTGTTGTGAAATTAATTTTCTCGATTTTGAACTTTGCACCATAAAAATAATCAGTTTTTTTCTTCTTCTTTTACTTAAAATCAACAGATGATTCCAACGGTTGATGAGAATTGCGGAACTTATTTAACAAAAGATGAAAAATCGAATGTTCGTCGAAACGATTCAAATGCACAATGGACATTATGGCCACATGGTATGGTTGCGTGTGCCGATTCTGATGGCACTAAAATAGATAAAATATTTCATTCGTTCGCTAGTCGAACGGATAAACCGCGATTAGCACATGAAGTTTATTTTCAATGGCTTACAATCCCCTCACTTAACGATGATAACGTGACCGGCAAGCTAAAATCGCACACAACGATGACACAAAAAGATCTGCTTATTGCCGCTTATTCCGGACCTAGCATAATGTACCGAAAATAGGACACACACACACACACTTTTATCGATAAAAATATGTTTGGCCGCCCGAGTTGGAGTAGTTGCAGCAACAGGCGATTAAAAGAACGTTTACACTCATACAGCGATTTCATTTCGATGACATAAATTGACAAACCAAAGATGCCTTCGCTAGAAAATACGCATTTATCCGATTTCAAAATGCCAAAGGAAAACAAACCAAAACCATTTTAGCTATATTGATGTTAATCTGTATTTATTAATGCAAAGAGGAAAATAAAATGGAACCGAAAAAAAACAATCAAAGTTCTCTTAAATTAAATTACTTGCCATTTCTGTGGTGCTTGAATTCATCACGAAAGATATATAAATGAACCAAAAAAAAAAATGCAATGAATAAATAAATCAATTTTGACAATGAATAAATTTATTTCGAACTGATCCAGGCTTAGATGGAGTTTGTATTTTAATCTTATTCACTAAATCCTAGTCCTTTTTTTAGATTTTATTCTTTCATTTTTTTACTTATTTTTTTTATTTATCTATTTTTTCTTCTCATTTCGGTAAAAAAAAACCAAAATGAAAATTAAGTGAGTGTAAAACGAAATGTCTTCTTCAAAATTAAAAAAAAAAATATTTTATCAAAAGAAAATATTAGTGGACACTTTTGATTGCTTATTTTTATAACTATATACTAATGGATGTGAACATTTGGCTAAAATCGGTCATAAACTTATGAATGTAAAGCGTTGACTAGAATGTATGAGATAATTTGGGCCAAAAGACAAGTTATGTTTGTAAAATGCCAAATTACAAGTACCAAGTTGTATTACAAGTAGTATTTATGCAGTACCAATTCTTAATATTGTCTATTCGAATTTCTATTGGATTGAATTTTCACATGATGAATTGGCTAATATAATATTTGAGATCGATACTGTGTTGATTATTACAAAAATAGCATTAATGCTACCTACTCTGTAATGGAGATCTATTTTTCATTCAATTTGTTCTCGCTTTGAATTTCTTTCCGCCACGAAATTCAAATTGTGAAAAGATTTTGAAAAATATGTCATTTTTTATTTGAAAAGAAAAAAAAATGTGATAAAATTCACTATTTTTTTGTCGTTGAGTATGCATTGAATAAATATTTCAATTTAATGTATTATTATGAGTTTGTTTCCGAATCGGTAACAGAGTTTTCTAAGACTGACTAGATGGAATGTGATTTTTAAATGGTAAATTGTATTTTCCAGTTTACTGAAACGAAACTTAGTCACATTGACCTAAAAAACGTTCACGCAATGAGGCTACAATTGGATTATCTTGGGCAATGCCTTCGGCGGCCAAATATTCAAATGTCTCTTTCACACAGAATGCAAAACCCAAGGCCTCCGCTTGACCCTCCAAAATGTCATTACGATGATCATGATTTTCTTCAAAATCACTGCCATTCCCCTCATCAATTTCATCTTCATCGTCTTGATGACCCGAATCATAATCAGCATCATCTAATTCGGCCAATTCATTTTCAAGTTCCTGAATTTTTTGTAGAGCAGCGTGCAACAATTGATTATTTCCATGATTTGAACGATGACCATCGGATGAATTCGAATTACTCGATTCATTTTCAATTTGAACACTTTCATCCGTTGAATCTCTGCGTACGATCTTTCGTTGGACAATTTGATCATGGTCCTCGTCTTCACTGTCACTTGGCGTACAATTTCCATCCGGATTTACAATATACGACGAACGATTTCCACGTTTTCGCTTGAAATTTTGAATTTCTGGCATTTTATTCGCAATTTTTAATTCAAATTCAAAAATTTCTTTTAAAATAAATTTTCAAACGCTTGATTTGAAACTTGTTCTTTTTTTCACCGATTCTTTTCGTTTACTTTACCGATTTCTTCTTTAATTCGATATTTTTCAAATTTCGATTAAAAACTATCACAAAAATTCAAAACTCTTTGAAATAATTCCTTTTTTTGTGTTATAATGTTGATCGCAGCAGCTGCCTTGATGAAAAACTTGATGCGCAGAGTGAACGAACGATGTTCACTTGACAATAACCGAAATCAAACTAATCACATCGAATCACTTCGCAACACAAAACCATCAACCGAACGCACATTGAATGCATTTACAACACCGAACTAAATCCAAGCCCAACAAGTTCAAAGCAACGATCAACAATAGCAACAACACACACACACACAAAAAGAGGAACGAAACAGGAACAGAAGTAATAGCAACAACAATGAAATTGCTGCCGTTGCATGAATTTAACCCAGTGAGTAGAATTAAGAATGCGATAAATGCAGGAGCGAAAGGTACGCGTGTTCAAGAAAAACCAGGGAAAAAAATGTGCCGTAAACGCACGCTCACAATGAACTATAAAGCCGAATACACACATTTGAAGCGCATTGTTTATAGCCTGAATCCCTCTGCGTTTGATGTGCATGTGTAGAGAGAGAGAAAAAAAGCATGCGGTGAACGACACACGACTTGCATTTGCACCCGGCGTCTAGCCCAATAAATGGATGTACACACACCATACTCTCCCCGTACCGAGCCTAAGCGCTGTACGACGTGATATGAAGCGATTGTGTGCGCAAACATGAGCTGGTGTACCATACTCACTCTCCCTTTGTGCCGTTCGTTCTATATTCTACACTGATCACGATGCTATCTGTATCTGCGCAATGTTGTTTTGCCATGTGCGATGAATCTGTATACTGTTTATCGAGGCAGTTGCTCGCTTTTGACCGGATAATATGAGCGAGCATTGATGGAACAGGAAAAAAAAGGAAACCCCGAAATAAGTTTTGTGTGTGAGTCAATGTGTTTGTGCATATGTTCCCGGATTTCTCGATCTCAAGCACCTTTCCACGCGCACAATTTTTGAATTATGTCGTTCATAGTTTCCCCTCTTATTCCTTCTCTGCTTTGGCTTATTCTCGATCCATGTTTTTTTCCTGCATTTCATCGTGACATTCTTAATCGTTGTTCGTTTACAGCATTTATTTCGGTGAACCGTGCGAGCAACAGTGTATCTGTGTGTTTACTTTCCCTCATTTAATTCAAATAAAAAAAACTCCTTATACGCGTGCGTAAAAATTATTAAGTGCTCTTTCAATTGCTTTTTCGTACACGCACATCGTACTACGCCTGTATGTTTGACTCTTCTTCTTCTTTTGTTGCTTTTCATATCGGCTGCATGGTTTTGTATTGCTAAATATTCTCTCGCTTCGGTTATGCAATTATGGTCCCTATTGTTTCGATGCATACAAAAGGATCAAACTTCCCATGGAATTGAGTGAGTGTGGTGTTTCTCATCGTTCTAAAACCACATCAATCGTTCATGAGAGAAACAACAGATTGCTGAGGTTGTTTTATTAGAAATTATAAGATGTTCCAAAACATTACCTGTTTGTGTACGCTCTAAAGTAGATACGTTTCTCAGAAATACTTCCGAAACCTGTTGAAATGTTACATCGTATTTTGCATCACCTCAATTCATATGCATATTACCCACATTAATACCACTTTGCACATCATAATAAACAAATGAACAATTGTGCAGTATCAACGTTGAACTAAAACAAAAAAATTTCAACACAAATCGGTTTTATAATAAAACTTTCATTACTATGTTGCACGAACTCAATCAACACCTTCACTTATTCCAAATCACTCATACTTAAGAATATTGCATGCAAATCTCATAGTTTACATGACTATGCATTGAAAACTAAAAGTTTTGCAATTTCTTTGAAAATTGACATTGCAATGCGCTCAACATTCAGATCATATATTGACAGCAAAATCTCACAAGAAGCGGATATAAATGTTTTAAGTGATTCGTTCAGATGAATAAAATGCACAAACTTCTTGTAATTTTCTGTGGTTAACTTTTACCATAGAATATTTTCTGCTTGAAGTGACTTTTGTCTGGCTCAGCTAAAATCGACTGATGATGCACAGTTTGTAATCGTCATGATGTATTTTCATTTTAAATAGAGTACAAGTGAATGTTTTTGTCTTGCAAGTTTGAATATTTAGATTGTAAATTTAGTATGCAGAAGACTATGAATTGCTCAAAGTCGCGGAGTTATTTTTTGTTCTCATCTTTTATTCTTTGCACTGTCTGTCTCTCCCTTGTTCTCTTTTTGGTCTTTTTACTCAATATTTAGCTGAATTCATTCTTTTCCATCTCGTTTGATGTTCCCTTCCCTCCCCCTCTATCTCCCTCTTTCTCTCTTTGATGTACAGTCTTTCTATCAAAAGCAGCCGTTTTATCTTCAATTCCATTATATGATTGAGTTCCTCTTTCGGGGTGACCGCGCGACAGCTGCAAAAAGGCAGATGCACCGAATGCGTGCGTTTTGTATGTGTGCGTGTGTTCGTCTTTTTTTTAATTCCATGCTCTTGTTTACTCATTCATTCATACAATTCAATGCCCGTCTGTGTGCTCGCATCACAATTATATGTTTCGTGTTTTATGTTGTATGCTGAACAAGTAATAATGATAATAAGGATAAAAATGCAGCAAGCTAAAGATGGAATTCGAATTGGCAAATTCACTTCGTGATACTTTTTGCGTACAAAGAAGAAGAAAAAATGTGACATTGCTCTTCATACTATCGTACGAATAAAAAATTCCGTTCACACTTTTGCAATTTATTCAATCGCTCAAAAGATATTGTGGTTTATTTTTGCGCGCGAGCTACAACTTTTGGAAAACATTTACCGATTGCATATCAAAAATTAAGTGAATGTTATCATTTTGATATGGAAATACAAATAAAATTGTTTATTTAACCGAAATATGACGATGAAATTGACTTTCGTGGAAACACCATCATTGTGAAGAATGCTGCATGTCTAGACAGTGAGTAGCATGGAATGAAGGAATTTTGGATTAATTTCACTTATCAATTTGTTTAAATTGAAGAAATTGAAGTTAGCTGGTCGCACTCAACGAAGAAATGCCCCAAATAGTTGTTCGCCAAATTGTAAAATTCGAATGAACAATTCTTTGCTCACTTGAATATCATGACATTTATTTATGCGATATTGCAGCCAATTCAGGCTAACAAAAATAACAACTGACACAAACAAAAAAACAAACATTTTCGTGTAACAAACAAGCATGGGCAATGTTGAGCAAGTATCATTGTGTATTCATGTATGTACTCATGATGACGTTAGATCAAATGGCATCTACATATTGTTGGCGTGCAAAATGCCATGAGTCAAACGGAAGCAACACGATAACATAATCGTGTATGAGCGCATGCAATGCGAAATGCACTTGATATCAAAACTTCATGATTAAATCTTTAAATATTTAAATCCAATTTAAAGTGTTGCAAAGTTTCTTATTTTAGTTCAATTTTATTTTGCTCTTGCTCTCTTACACACTTTCCCATCCAAATGGTTGAACAATAATTTTTCCAAATATAAATACAAGCAGCAATAAAAAGCACTGAGTGATTATCAGGCTCGTATACAAATAAAAAAAAAACCACGTCGAAAACAATTAACTTGGAAAATGGTAGTGAACATAAATTTCAGTTGGAAGAGCTTGAGTGTAGTTCATTTTCAAACGTATATATTCTGAAGTATGCGGTTTCCTTCGGTGGCTCATGTCTGGAACATATTCAGATACATAAGATCAAAATATGAGTAATTTTCAAGTGAGAACCCAACAATCATTGACGGTATTTATTACATAATATTCACTTGATGGAAGAGAGCAAAACACCTATTTTGTTGAACATTTTTAGCGCACCATTTCGTTTGAAAACACCTCATCAGAATTCATCAACAAATGTGTAATATTTTGCTCCAAATTTGCATATTTTGAACATCTTTTGAAGAATGAGCATTTTTTAAATCGAGAGTAAAACTAAATTAATTTTATATATTTTATGAATAAAATTGTAAAAATATTCAATAAAAACTGCTTCAAAGTTGCCTTTTTTAGTCTGATGAAATGTCTGTGTCCAATTGCCACATTTAAATGATGATTCGCTTGAAGAAATTCCGGTTTGATGCTCTACTGACACCACACGCGCGTAACTTGCTTTAGGGCAACGAAAAAAATAAGCGTGCCACCTTCCAATTAAAAGCAAAACGCACGTGGTCAATATTAAAAAGGAATCAACGTAGTTTTGCTTTCCTCTTTCTTTCTTCGATTTCTTGTAAACATACCATTTTCGTTCTAAAGAAATCCAGTTTAAACCTATTTGATTCATACAAGCCGGCCATACCGTCAGCTATCGTCATCAGCGCTGATAAATTCAGCTGGATATTTTAACAGGTAAACCGAATGCGTTGTGTATGTAGTGCATAAAACACGCATAATGAGCAAAATATTTTTTCAAACGGAATTCCATTGTAAGTATAAGTACTGACCCAGCTTCTATGGGTCCCAATTATTTTGATTTTTTTTTTTTGTGAAAAAGAAGTATTAATTCTCGCCATTAATCATATTCTCTAAATTTTGGAGTTCAACATATTTGGCATCAACACCCATTACTATAAGTATCCACGTTATAAGAATTCAATGTGTGTTCCAAATATGGAATTTAGTTGTTGAAAATCGTGTGACTTATTAAAAGTCGAATGATATAAGATTTTACTTTACAGCATCTTTGAATTGCAAATTGTAAATTTCTCAATGTGAGTTTTTCCTCGAAATGTGATTTACTTATGTTATTTTTATAGTTTGCTGCCACTGTGATTTAAATCCTTGTTTAAATCTGTCGACAGCGCTACCGAAAAAAACAAGCATTCACATATTTTCATGGCAAAGATGGAAAACGCAAGATGAAACGAAAACAAACGAAGTATTTCGTATAAATGTTTTCACTCTGTAACATAGTGAATGTTTAATAGAAATGATCAAGCATAAAAGTGCATCTTTGAAGTGGAACAAGAAAAAGAATTGTTGCCATTTCTTCAATTGAAAATACTTACATTTTTCTTACACTGGTACATTTCTAGGGGTTATGTTCAAATATATATGTTCGATTGCTGTAAATAGTGCCAAATCATCTG